GAAAAAAAATAAGGACTAGTTTTGTCTAACATCGCTGAAAGCCACAGCCATAACAGTGGTTGCTTTCACTCCATTTACTTTTCTGGTCATATAATTTTAAAGGAAACAAAAATCCGTATCATACGAAATCCAGATCATCTATTGTCAAAAACCAACCTTATCAAAATTAGGATCCTGTGACGCATCTAAGATATTACCAGTCGAATCGGTAACGCGGTAAATTGGAAGAGACGGTGCCTTATCGGGATCAATTATCTCTAGCTTCTCCGTGAACGCAGCCTAGAAAAAAGAACTCAATTGCAACAACAATCAAAATTCCAAACAAAAAAGTACCTTGCGGTGGCCTAAGTACTTCTCACTATATTCATGCAAAGTAAACTCATCCGCTGTCTGCGTGCTAAGGAATCTTAGTGCATTACGAGCTACTGCTGCACGACAAACTACTGGTACTACACGAGATAACATCCTAAAACAGCTTCATGCAGATAAATTCATAGGAAAAATCAGCGGCGGAAGGGCGGAAGAAGGAAAGGACCATGGCTTTCGATTAGCCGCATTTACGAACGAAAACAAAGCTACTGATTCTCGTTTCAATGCGACTAATTCCCCCAGGGAAATTGCGATAAGATAGGATGAGGAGTCTCCTCTAATTGCAAGAAGGCAAAAACACTCTATAAACGCTTTACCGCTATTACGACACCCGATGCATAACAATTCAACGACAATAACAACAGATTGAAAACCTATGAAGCGTTTATAACTAACGATGACCAGTCATTTCAACAATAGTGACAGCCTCATAGCTAACTAAAAAATCTAAATGTTCAAAACAATTCAATATCGAGCTTGATATTTGCTATAGTGTCGCATACGAGAAAGACAGCAAATGACTTAATGTTAAAAGGGCTGAAACAGAATTAGTCAGAACTAGAACTAGCAACTTCCTTGCCATCCTCAACTATGATAACTTTGGTAGGAGAAGAGTCCAAAAAGTGTAGAGTATCGAAAA